ATGTATATAAATATATATATTCTAAATAATAAAATGTAATACAGGTGAAGTCCCTGAATGGCCTCCAGCTGTAAAGCTGATGTCTGTGTCTTTTCTTTGAAGCTATCAAGTTTGGACACAGTAAGCTTTGCTGGTGGAAGTACGAGAAAGTGCTGACTCTGGGAGCACTCCAAGCTCCCAGACTAAAGGCAGGAATACCAGTTCCTGTACTGTACGAGATTTGCCAGTGTGGCAGTGTACAGAGGAGCTACCACAGAAAATTACTCCAGCAGAATTTGCCAACCTTGGTAGCTATTTTGCCTGAACAGCAGTTATTATTCTCTAAACAAACCTGTTTTCACTAGAGGGTAAAAATCTCGTGCTTACGGTACCTGCATCTCATGAGGGAACGCAGAAGACGACAGAGGACACAGATACTTTCTACTTCCATTGTGTGAAGGCTTGGGAGCCAGTTCTAAAAGTCAGGCTGCAGGTAATGGGCACCCTACAATACTACTGTTCATGCTGCTTGTTTATGTCAAGTGTTGCCGAAACAGCAAAGAACTTGAATTGTTTCTATTCTGTGAACACAACCCATGTTTTTTGTTTTCTGTAGAAAGTTTCTGATAAGGAAGATGACAATAGCAATTTAAGTGACACCTTAACAGTACCACTGAAATTTCTCCCTGTTGGACATAAAGTAAGAGTAACCCTCCCTGTAAGACATGTAAGTATTTCACTGTTTATCTGATCTTTTGGAGAGAAGAGTAGAATAACCCTCAGTATTTAACACCATAATATATTTTTAAAAAATCAATTAGTAAATCTGAGTGAGAAGTTTTTGCGAATACAGGTTTTCTGTGGAAAAGTTTAGTTATCACAGAGAAATATGAATTTTCTGTCAGTAAAATCGGTAATTGGGAATTGATCCTGATCTGTTTGAGATGCATTTCAGACCAACCTCTGCTGTACTTTTGCAGTTAAAGGAGAATATTCAATACACCTAGCAAGGTTTTGGGATGCCCTGATGCTCTTTATCAAGCCTGGGTGGCTAGCTCGGTCTATGTACTTAGTACGTAGGTGGCTGAGGTTAGATGTGTTGAATCTTGCCATCAGAGAACAATGCCATCACATTCTTCTAAGTGAACAATCATGGTGGTAACTGGTGGAGAGATACAACTCTAAGTTGCTTTTAAAGAAATAGTAATGCTGCTATGTAGCCTGATGAATCTGTTAATGATAGCCAGACATCCTTTTCCAGACCTTACAGCAAATGAGAGGCAAAAATAGTAGAAGAATTTCTCAGCAGCCTTTTCTGTAAAGAGAAGGGAGAATTAATGTTTGTTTTGCCACTAGTCATTCCCCACCTCTGTTTTTGGACTCTCTTTTACCTCTAGTAGTTTTTTGAAGGATGTGATGACTTTTATTTCCTCTTCTATCACTGTCTTTATCTGGCTGCTTTTCTTCATGCTCAGGAGTGTTTTAGGGCAAGTTTTACTGGGTGGCAGTAAATGCAACCAGTGCACTTGGGTGCTGAAAGTAGCAGTGTGATCCTGCTGCTGGGTTAGGATGGTTCATGGAGGTATTCACGGTGAGGAAGAAATCCTATTTCACAGCCTGTTTGTCATTTTCATTGCCTTTGACCTCTGCTGAATCTATTACTTCTCTTTAGAATATGTTTGGTGTTTAGTTGCTTTCCATCTCATTCCTGTTACAATTAAAAAAAATGTATACAGGGTGGTAGTGGTGGGACATTCCAGGAAGCACTGAAAATCTGGATTTCAAAACTTCTTTTTTGCACTCATTCATGTTTCTGCTCTCTTTTGTTTGTTTTCAGAATGTGCCACTGCAGTTGTACCTCCAACTAAATGATTGGTAAGAGGGTTGTTGGGGTTTTTTTTTCTCTCTAAATGTTTTATTGCTCTTTGAACTGTGAAATTTAGAACAGAGTATCCTTTATTTAGATATAAGGAATGCACAGGACTACAGGCAGAATATAATAGCTAAGTCACTGTTAAAGAGTCATCAGAACAGGTCAAAGTTAAACGTCCTTCGGGCAAAGCAGTCGCACCAAGATGCAAAAAAGATTATGAGAGTTTCAAACAGTGAAGAGCCTAGTCACTGAGTGTCCTTTGCATCAAAGAGCCAGAGACTGAGATTGGAGGCTTCTTCAAAAAGGACACAGAGGCAGGAAGAAGGCAGAGGGAAAAGAAAAACTGAGATAAGCAAAACATCCAGAGTCCAGACATTACTCAGACCACATAGGTAGTGTTAAGAAAATAAACTGGTGGCTCTGGTGATATCAATAGAAAGAAGTATAAGCTAGGGAAGATAAAATGTTCCATTGTAAAATAATGAGTCAGACAACAAACAAACAAAAATTATTTGAACATCTTTTTCATTGTACTGTTTTTGTATAAATCTGTGGCACAAATATCCTTGAAGTACCTTGTTTATTCAAGTCACCCCTTGCTCAGAAATGATACAAAGCAGAAATAGAAAAGATTGGGTTTATGATGCTACTGAAAGACACAAAGAAGCCTTTCTTTTTGTCATATTTTATTTCCTTACCTGACAGTAAACCTTACACTGAAACACCAGACAATAAAGACATCACATAGAAGCAAAGCAGTTGTTTTCTTTGAAACTGGTAAATGCATTTCTGTCTAAATCTGTAGAAAGAATCATGATTTTTTAAATGATATTTAGTAGACTGCAGTTGCTAAAAATGGATCTATATACGTTTTAAACACCAATCCCATGCCTCTGAATTTATTTATGTTTCAGCACAGATAAACTAGATGTGCGCTTAGGGTATGATCTGTGCCAAGAAGAGCAAGAATTCTTGCAAAAAAGGAAGAGAGTGGTTGCCAGTGCCCTAAAAACGGTTCTTCATCTTGAAAGAGATCTACATGGACATGAGGTCTGTGAATTTGAATCTAAGCCTGAGGTGTGGGTCTACTGAATTAGGATTGGCACAACTCCCCACAAAATTTCTAGTAGCTTTTGCATGTTGATAACAAACGCATTGATTTGAGTGGCAGCAGAAGAGATGTTCTCAGTGTGACATACCCCATACTCATGTAAAATTTCAGCTCAGCTATTCATGCCTTCATTCTTTCAATGGGCCAAATTCCCAAGGACATCACATATCAGTCTTCAAAGCCAGAGTTTCCAACAGTGTGATGCTGTGGGTCAGCAAGATATGAGGTATTGTATTAGATACAGCCTAGCCTGACAACCCAAACCAATAAGAAAACAGCAGTATTGGAAATTCACCTCACTTACGTATTTATTAAATCGTTGTAATGTCCCTTCTTTAGGCTTACTGTTTTTTCTTTCATTTTCAGAAAACTTCTCACAAAAAGTCAAAATTATTTGGGGTGAAGAAAGAATATTTTATAACAAGCTGAAGTATTTTTATTGCAGGGTTAATTTTTTAAGGGAAAATTTGTTCTCTTGCTGGAATTATGTTTGTTGGATGAATGCTGTCCAAAAAATCATTTTGCTTTTTTTGAACTCTTGCATTCAAAGAACTTCCTTAATCCATTCTTAATTGCATTTATTGCAATTTTGTGTTATTTAGAATAAAGTAATATAATTATCTATTATTACTCTCTGCAATTCCAATTATAAAGAGCAAGATTAGGAAGGAATGTTCAAGGCATATTCAAACTCATCCAAACTTCGGGGTTAAGAGAACCCACTGTGTATCTGGAGGTGAATTTAAAGGAGGTGCTGGTAAAGACTGGCTAAATATTGATTTAATTTCTTTGTCCTCCAATGAAGTCTGTTGAGGAAATTCTAAGAGCTGTAATTAGACTTTTCCAAGCAGGCAAAGGAGCAACTTCATGAGGATAATGCTTATGTTTTGAACAGGTCCCAGTAATAGCTGTTATGGCAACTGGCGGAGGTCTCAGAGCAATGTCAGCCATGTTTGGCCACCTCTTAGCTCTTCAGAAGCTAAATCTGTTGGACTGTGTTACCTATCTCACCGGGGCTTCTGGCTCAACATGGTGTGTATAGAAAATGAGATTTGATTTGTCATGACTGTGACTACATTTCCACACAGTGAGAGAGATACATCTCTTTCAAAGACTTATATTGTTTACACGTATTCCCTGGTAAAGCTCTTACTGTTGGCTCTCACAACTTCAGTTTAGGCTGACTGATTTTCTTCTTTGATTTAGACGATTGTGTAAATATAGTAATTTTCCAAAACAACCTTGACAAATGGATGATTTCCTCACATTTCTGCTCTTTAGGACCCTGGCAGACCTGTATGAACATGCTGACTGGTCACATAAGTCTCTGGAGGAGCCACTTAAGGCAGTAAAAGAACAAGTGACAAAATGCAAGCTCAACCTTATGTCTATAGATCATCTGAAGTATTACCACAAGGAACTCGCTGAAAGGGCAAAAGCAGGACATGTCTCATCTTTTACAACTCTGTGGTCACTTGTTCAGGAAATGTTCTTACATGAACAGGTATGTACATTGTCCTGCCACACATTTGGGAAATATCCACTCATTTTCTTTAGAGCTTTACTCTTTGAGGGCATGAAGTAATGTGTGTAACAAATCCTGAGTGAGTGAGGCATCCCAGTGTGATTTGTAAACTATGACAGAGGATCTTGTAGCCAGGATTTTCCAGGTGGATAATGGTTTGAATGTGCCTCTGTAATATGGTGCCCAACAGCTAGCAACTCCAGTAGGCAAACTTTCAGAAAAAACTGGGAAATTCCCCCCCCCTGAAAAGTTAGATCTTTTAAAGTCTGTTTCTAGTTTGGCACTTTAAGAGCTAGAGTAATCAGTCCTCATGTGAACATTAATCTCAGATCAGGCAATCAAGGCACTTAGATATTCTAATGAAGAAGTTACTGGGTATCAAAAATGCAATCAGCCAGGAAAGTACAGGAACATGAAGAAAAAGGACTCTTATAAAAATGTGATTCACAGATTCCTCTGTGTTGTAAAATACATGTTATCAATCTGTACTCAAGTAATTGTGTCAGTGTTATGCTCTTCCAGAGGTTTACTGTGATTTTTTTCCTCTCTTTGATTAGCCAAGAAAGTATAAACTCACAGACCAGCGCAAGGCATTGGAGTATGGACAAAACCCATTGCCTTTCTATGCAGTCCTCAATGTGAAAGAAGAGAAGTTTGGCACTTTCAAATTTAGAGGTATGTGTTCCTAGAGTTTCTTCTGATTCTGGGTAGGGAATAAAGAGAATTTGGAGGGAGGGTGTGCATGGAGAAAAAAGGGTAACACATCTGTTGCTTGCCCTGACTCAGCATTCATCTTTGAATAAAATGTTTGTCTTTTTTGCAAACTGCTGGGTGTTGGTTAGAAAGAGCATATCTGCTGGATAACATCCTCAGCCATAACAGGACATTTCTGAAAATCTGGGGTGAAGTCCTACTTTTGCCAGAGACATTGTGAGTGAGTGTGGGCAATTCATCTGATCTTTTTCTGGCTCTGTTCCACACTTATAAAATGGTTCTGATGCTTCCTTAGTTTGTAGAGGTGCTGTGAATTGTACTTGTCACTTCCCTAAATACTACACTGACAAGGGTATGAAAATGGAGAGGAGTATGATTGCTATGATAGATGTGATATCCCATCCTTTAAATGGACACAGGCCACATTCAACAAAAGGTATTAAAATGAGCAGATACTGGAAGGAAAAAAGCAATCAGTCCTTACATTTGGTTGGGTTTATAGCTACTGTTTGACAACAATGCTTGTACAGAACAGCTTGAGTCATTAACTGTGCAGCCACTGTGATACTTTCTAGTTTGATGCTGGTATGTCTTCAGGCTGCTTTGTTATATCATGTAGACTGGCAGGTTTGGGTTAGTAGAACTTTCATGCCGGTCATTCCTTGCAGTTCATGTCACACGTGTTGTAGAGTTGATGCTCTTGATTTAGAGAGGTGAGATCTCAGAATCTTTATATAGAAATAGATATCTAAAATTTTGAACCTAATGTTAGACTTCTTTCTGAGGTAAAAAAGCTAGTTCCTTCCTTTGTATGCAAATAATCTCTCAGTTTTTATGAGAGTAGATGGTGCAGGTTGCAGTACAGAGCTATGGATAGGACAGAGCTGCTGAGGCAAGCAAGGTCCGTGGAGCGTTTTGCACAGGGGAAGGTTTTGTTTTCTTATTTTTATTGCAGTAAACCTGCCATGTATCAATTGTTTTGTAGAGTGGGCAGATTTCTCTCCTTACGAGGTGGCAATACCAAAATATGGAGTCTCCATTCGTTCAGAATATTTTGACAGCGAGTTCTTCATGGGAAGGCAAGTGAAGAAGCTGCCAGAATCTCGGATCTGCTATCTGGAAGGTGACACAGCAGTGCAATGTAGTTAATCACAGCATCATAGAAAGCACGATACTAGCTGGCTCCTGGCCTGTGTACAGCACTCCTTGCCAGCAAGTCTGCTCTAGGTCTTGATTCAATGTTCTTTTTACCCTTTTTGTACACTTCTGCTCTTTGTAAAGCTTCTTTCCTACTGTCCTCCCTTTTAACCTGGACAGATTTGGATAAGTTGCAGCATGGTTCCCCTTCCATTGTCTAAACCAAACAAGATGGTGGAAAAGGCAAGTTAAGGAAATAATAAGCCTTCCTTCCCTGACCAGTCATCAACTCACAAACTTCATAAAATATATTTGTAGACAATGCATTACTGGGGTAGAATTGGAAGGAGCTGAGCAAACCACAAAGGTGAGAGGCACTTGAGCTTTGTGGGTTGAGAATGGTGTCACTAATGTTCTCTGCCCATGAGGATGAAGGAAGCCTTTTTAACCTCCATTCTGGCAGTAAAGGTGAAGAAATTGGCCAGAGGAACCCATTTGTCCCAGGCAGATTTTAAATCCTTTTAAGTGCTTTAGTTTCGATACTAAAAGCGAGAGTTCAGTGGAGACAAAAATTGTATTACTCTTACTGTGAAGTTTGCTAGAGATTGAATTTGTCCCTCATGCAAGTTCCTGGCACGGAGCATAATGACAAAGGATAGTTCTTTCTTTTCCAAAAGCAGACTCACATATGGAGCCAATTTTATTTCGATCCTGGAGTAGTTGCACTCCATAAAAACAAAACATGCCAGAAAGAGAAAAATAGGTCTTAGGTCAATTTAAAGAGTAAGTTTAAAGAAGGCTATTATGATTATATGTCTTCACCATGCTTTCAAAGCCTGCTTACTCTCACAGGGACACAGTAAACACTAAAACATCATTTTGGTGACTGATACCTCTTATTTTGTTATTCTACTATGCAGTGAATGGTCTATGTGTAGGTGCTTCTTGAGAAAAAGCACCGAATTCTGACACCATTATGTTTGAACTCCCTGAGACCTGCTGCTTAAGCTGTGTCGTGACAGGGTCAGTTCATGTGGGCTAATAATATATGTAGAGTGGATACTTGTAATAGTCGGTGGTAGTGCAGTAATTTTTCCCATGTGGTTTGTCTTGCAGGTCTTTGGACAAACATCTTTACTAGGAATTTGCTGGATGGCTTGTACTGGTCCTCAAATTCAAACGAATTCTGGGAACGATGGGCCCAAGATATGGTAGATATGGGTAAGAGTTTCAAAATCAGTATTTATTTTTGACCAGAGAATACTTCCTATTCAGGAGAGGCTTAAGAAAGGTACATTCTTGCTGCTGGTTGTGAATTATCTCTTATATGTTCTTCCTGAATTATTTCCCTCTCCCCTCCCTTCTCCCCCCTCCCCTCTCCCCTCTGCCAGTATGTCATCTGAAGAAGACAAAAGCTGTGCTTGCTTTGAAGAAAACCAAATATCTCTTTGCTTAAATGAGACAAATCATGTGTGCACATTTTCCAGAAGCCTGCAAGAAACAGGGAGGGACCCACCAGAAGACAACAAAGGCAGCTAGGCAGTAAAGATGTCTGGTAGAACAAATTTCTGATGTGTTTTTCCTCATAGTTTCTTCTCTATTTCAGAAAAACATTCACCTGAGGATGATATCACTGTCATTGAGCCTCCATCTTGTTTGCCAGGGAAGTTGTATGAAATGTTTCAGGACATTGTTACCAAGCGTCCACTACTGGGAAAATCTCATAACTTCCTGAGAGGCTTAGAATTTCATAAGGATTATATCCATCAGAAAAAATTTATTGAATGGAAAGGTAACTGCAACAAAGAGTTAGCTGCAGTATGCAGGTAACATCTCAGATTTTTATATTTTTTAGACTTGGGAAAATTCACTTTTAGGGATATTTTACTCAGAGTTTGGAAATCTGCTGAAGTGGAACTATGTTCACAGTGTCTGTTACTTTAGGGTAACAGGTTAAAATGGACTAGTCCATGGGCTGCTCTTTCACTTTGGGAAGATATATGTAATTTGTGTCAAGGAATGTTCTCCTACAGGAAATTTGCCATTCTGCATTGGTACAGTATTCAAAAGATTCCGGAAGGGCAGAATCTTTGGAGGTCAAGAAACAAAGGTAGCACCAGAAGCATAAAACAGCAGGTTATTAGGTAGATCAGATGAAGAAAAGGACTAGTTGCAAGCATGTGGTTCCCCATATGTTTGGTATTTCTGCCAGATGATTATCCATCCAGAGACCTCTCTTTAACCCCTTGGAAACAGGAATACCAAGATCCAACTAGAGAAAGTTAAAAGTGACATAGGTTTAGACTGTATAAATTAAACAAACAGAATAGGTAGACCTGATGTATAAATTGAGCAGTAATTCTCTATGGCCTGAGCTCTGCAGGCAGGCAAAGTAAAACCGTTTTACGTCAAAATCTATGAGACAATCTGTGAAATGCTAGCAAGGTGATGGAGCTGAGGTTTTGTGCATCAGAAACCCTCCTATAATCCCAGCATCCTCATTTATTCCAGGAACAGACAGCAGTGTGGGAGGATCCCGTATCATTAAGATTTATCTGACTTTAGCAAGAAAGCACATGTTCTCTGCCTCCTCTGAGTCCTTCTCTTTAGCAACCTATGTTGTCCCTCCTCTGTTTATACAAATTAAAATGTGTCTTGTCCTTCTCTGCCATTACTACATGGTTTACTGACAATGGCAAGAGCTGGTGGGACTTTTGTGTGGATTTAGGCAGAGCCCACAGTGTGCTATCTGCAAAAGTGTGTCCTAAAATAGTCTGCTCTAAGAAAACAAATGAGAGGAGATAATAAGTAGCATAAGAAGGGCGGGTGAGAGAGAGAGCAAGTGAGTAGATTAAGAAGGTGGATGAAGGATAAAATTATCAGACAGTAAATGTCAAAAAAAATTACTTTCCTTACATTTGCTGACTATCGGTTTTGTAAACACAGATGAGTAAAAGCAGATTTCAAGGAGGATTTTGAAGGAGCAAGCATAGGAACACTGAGGACTATTTCAGGGTAGATTTTCTACAAATACTGTAAAATATGTGGAAAGCATGTAGTCTGGAGTAGGAAAAGGGAAACTGGAAGTCTGGAGTGGGAAAAATTAGCAGATTTTTCAGCTTCTTTTGGCTGCCTGCATAAGACTAAGCTAAACCCAGGTATGGATCCATCTCTAGGAGCCAGAGGACGTGTCAAGTCTGTGAGCAGAAGTGACAGTCTTCTGGGTGGGTGAAGGCTCCAGATCATAGCTTTGTTTTAAAGGCTTCTGGGCAGCTCAGGTTATCTGAGAGTTTAAAACAAGACTTTAGATGCCATGTGAAAAGCCTAAATTTCCTGGTGAGAAATTTGAGGAGTAATAGCCTGGAATTAGTGCAATGCATTTATAATAGGGTTCATGCTTTCAAGGGAACTTGGTTGTGGGATGGAAGGAGACTCTCACAAGAAAATGCCTACTTCTAGTTCACATATCCAGCCATGAATAAATGCTGCATGGTTCCATCTGTGTGATAAGAAAATGGGCATAATGGAATTTCAACTAAAAATGTTCACTGGGCCAAGTAAAACTAAAAAGTATGCTCTGTTTCTTCTGTGAGGGTCTGCAAGCATTACAGCACAATCTGTGAATTCTCAGCAGCCTTGAATGCTAAAATAAGCACATTTTTTAAAGATCTGACAGAGGAAATGGAAAAAATACGAGTTATTAGTTCAAGATGCTGTGAAACATTCCAGGCTATGGAACAAGCTAGAGTTACTCTGCATGGATTAAATCAACACTACAGATTCAGGGCAAGGAAGCAGAAATTGAACTAAGCAAAATGTTGGAACTTAGCTGCAGTGTTTCTGTGATCAACAGTTTCTGAAAATGCCCAAGCACAATGATTTAAGGCTCAAGTATTCTGCTCTGGGCTTTGCTACCTCTTTTTGTGAATTTGACAAACACTTCTAGAGCACTATTTTGATATTTAAAACCATGGAAAAATGTTTCCTATTCCATGGGCCTAGAAGGGAACAATAGAGGACTGGCTGTCTACAGGGCAAGCTGGTGAGGTTGCTGGCAGAGCAATTAGAATCTAGCTCTCAGAAACTGGCTATAGATCTCAGTTTGCCAGTTTGTATAATCCCCTTTTGGCTACTTCTGGCATTAATGTGAGGTTTAATGAATTTAAGCAATATTTTAAGTAGGGGATGCTGAGTGCACGATGTGGTAATTTTTTGCACCATGGCTTAGATAATTTATATGAGATCACTGAAAGCAGGTTGAAGCCAGGTTTTTCAGCTTGAGAGAGGAGTCTAACTCTGAGAATGCAAAAGCAAAAAAAGACCAATGTAAAAATGCAGCATGTATTCCACTTACTAGCTGTGTTGCTACACTCTGAAATTGTTTTTGTTGTTTGCAATTTTCTCAGTTCTTAGGGGAAAAAAAAAATCTGTTGAAATCTGTATTCTGTGAAAAATTACTCCCCAGAGAAGCTCTGAGGTCAATGGAATCTGTGTCTCACCTGTCCTCTGTCTGGCTGCCTCTCAGCCTGCCTTTGTGAGTGTGCCTGGGGGACTGTGGTAACAGGGCAGATGTGAGCAGATGTGCAGTTTGAAGGGCATGCTCCTGAGGCCTTGTTTTTGGGCTAACATTATGGAGGGAGGTGACCTTGGTCTTGAGGGCAAGCAGGGGGCTGCCTTTCACAAGTAGCACAGACAGAATTTCTCACAGCTTTCCTAAGAATGCACCATTAACTATATTCAAAATGTTTTTCAGACACTGTGCTGGATGCTTTCCCTAACAATCTGACGCCTCTGGAGAAATATCTTTGTCTGATAGATGTTGGCTATTTCATCAACACCAGTGGTGCAGCACTTTTCAAGCCAGAGAGGAATGTAGATGTCATTATATCCCTTGATTATGGTTTGGGTAATGTGTTCAAGGTGAGACTATTAACTTCCTGTGCTCTTTGCAGCCCCAGTAAAACTCTTCTTGTCTAATTGAAACTTTTAAGTAAGTGGCTAAGTCTTGATCATCTATCCAAGAGGAAACTGGTCACCATATCTTGGAGGAGGAAAGAAACTTGCTTCAAGAACAGAACTGTAGAAACTCTTAGGGTCTTTTCTGTGTAGTGGATGACAGCATCTTTCTTAGGATCCTCAGGGAATTGCAGTAACAGTTGTTTGCTGGAGACATGCCATTGATCTCTCCTGGTCTCTCATGACTTACTCAAAGTGTAGCTTTACCCTTGAGCAGGTGTAAAAAGCATTATGGGGTGATAAGAGGCATTGTCTGACTTGTGGCTGAAAGTAGGGTTGTTCTGTGGCTAATTTGGACTTAGACATTTTTTTCGGAGTGATTCTTGGGAAGGAGTTATGATGCCATAGCATTTCTAGGATACTCAAGTAAACCTGATTCTTGTCTTTAACTCCATTACATTCTGTGTCCACAGCAATTAGAGATGACATACAAATATTGCAAGACACAAAAGATCCCATTCCCCAAAGTGGAGCTAAGTCAAGAAGATGAGGAGAACCCAAAGGAATGCTATGTTTTTGCTGATGCAGAGGACCCCAGAGCACCCATAGTAATACATTTCCCCCTGGTGAATGACACCTTTAAGGAATTCAAGGAGCCAGGTAAATTCAGTGACCAAAACTATGCACTGTGCTCTCCCCCCAGTATGCTTCCACTGATGGCAGGCAGAAGAGCAACCTCCAGACTACTGATGGTCATTCTGCACTCGCAAAGTGTGGAGGGGACAGTCCTGGGCAGCTCAGTGCCACAGAATGTTGGAGAGCATTGCCTAGAGTGGGTGGGGTTTGGTTTTGGGGTAAAAGAAGAAACCAAACCCTGGAAAGAATCTGTATGTTTAGTGAATGGAGAACAGGCAAAATGCCAAGCTCGCCAGCCAGGCCCTGAGCCTCCTCTCTGACCCTGCTGCTCTTGTGGTCATTGGATGAGGGGACTGTGTCCTCCTCATAGTGGTCACCCACTTCTTCCATGCAGGAGCAGCTGGCAAGGCTGCCTGCAGAGCAGGCACGTGGGGCTCCGGCTGGCCCAGTCCTTGATGCAGGCAGTGTGGAATTGGTGGAGGCAGAAGAGCACAAAGGCTGCGTCCTCAACGACCTCCAGGCAGATGGGGCATTGAGGTGCCTTCCCCAGCCATGACTGCATCAGCTGGCTCATGCTGTCCCTCGCTGCTGAACTGCTCTTCTGCAGGACCTCCTCGCTCATGTCCGTTGCCATGTCTTGCCAGGAGAGCAGGGACAGGCACTGAGGGTACTGTGCAGCACTGTGCAGCCAGCTGGGGGACAATGGGTGCTAGAAGGGACTGCTTTTGCTCAGCACCCCTGCAGCACCATGTTTTTTGTGCTCCACATTCAACTCACTCTGGCTTTTTTTCATTTTCTGCAGGGGTAAAGCGTGATCACTCAGAGATGGAAGAAGGAAAAGTAAATCTGGAGAACAACTGCTCACCTTACTACCTCATTAGGCTAATCTACTCTTCTGAAAATTTTGACAAACTTGTGAATCTGAGCAAATACAACATCCTCAATAACAAAGACCTGCTTCTTCAGGCAATTCGGAGTGCTGTAGGACGGCGGAGAAGCAGCAGGGCTGGGAATCTCCCCAGCTACTCTGCAGCTGGATACTCCTAGGCCAGGTTTTTGTTCTTTTCCCCACTGAAGGCTATGACAGCACATTACAACACATCACAGTCACATTACAACATATCACAGTCACATTACAGCACATCACAGTGTTCATTATTTGCAGAAAACTGAGGAAACCTGTACATTTCTCATCTTGCCTTGTGTTCAAGCTTCTAGCTTTCAAAGGGGTTTATTTAATCTCCTTTGCCCCCATTCTCAGCCCACAAGAGCCTTACCCTGTGGTCTTACTTTTTAAGAAAAGAAGGTCCTGGTAAACAGACACATTCTGGGATCTCCCTGATGTTATAGCACATGGTGGTGGTGATAGATAGTTCTTTGGTTGTGCCTGTCCCTTCAACCCTGAGCCCATTGTTGGTGTCCTCTCGATGCTTGATTACAAACCAAGTCCTGGCCATTTGCATTCAGTAATGTCCAGATTTTCAGATAGGCTGAGCAACTAGAATTTGCACTGAATTGGTGGGCTCAGCTTTGAAGTCAGACCAAAGAGTCATGGATATATATGTGAACAACGGCCAAACTGCAAAATGGACAATTGCACTCACTCTGGCCGATTCCTCTTGCTGATTTAGAAGTTAGTCTTTTTTTCCATTCCCCTGTAAGAGTTTGGCACTGAAACGCTGCTCTGAACTGCCATGAAGGGGGCAATTACATTTCATGGAGAGAAGACATCTGCAGTGAGCTAGTATAGTTGGTTCTTCTGAGTGTTGGCTGGAGGAAATGTTCTACATAAAGCATGAGTGAGTGTATTGATTTATACTAGCAGTGCCTTTGTGCATTTAAATGTCAAAAACTTGTAGCAAGCTTTTGATAGCAGAAACTTGAGAAGAATATTTACACAAGTACATTTATTTAATAATTGTGATTGAGACATAAGCTGGTGCTCCTTATGTATGTAAACTGAATGTAGGACAACATAACTCACTAACAGAATGCATAGCCATTGTATTTTCACACCCAGAAGATTTTTCCTCTTTACAGTCTTCTACCCCTAACATCATGTGCAAGGTATTTTTAATAGGTGCTACATAAAATAGAGCACAAATAAAACAGGAAAATTCTTTGTCACACCTCCTTGTGCTGGAGGAAAATACTTGGAAAAATGATGTCTGGTTTTCATTTGCTTTGGAGTGCAATGAGAGACTTTGCCTTGAACTAGGAGCTTGGAACATCTTGATAGTGCTCCACTATATTAAAAGATGGTAGGAAAGAATGCTGAGCCATATGAAATAGCTCCACAAAAGTCAGAGAAATGTTTAGACTTCCTAGCACTGAAGGATCTGGACCTGCTCCTGGCTTATTTATTCAAAACACAGCGTATTCATCAGGACCTCCAAGGAAAATCTTACGTATTTCTTCTGTGTTGGAAATTTACTTGAGATCTAGAATGAGATTTACTTAAAATCCAAAATTAGACAAAGAAAGAGACACAGAGGTCTGTCTATTTGGTATATGCAGGCAGTATTCAAGCTCAGAGGGAGAGAGCATGTACAAAAGACTCTATTGCCTGAACCATGCATCTACTAAATGCTGCTTCTGCTGCAGTGACAATGAGTAAGCCTCAGCAATATTCCTTATATAATGCCTAATTACTGAGCTAAGGAATACCATGTTAAACCTGAGGAATCTTAACAGCTGGAATGTAACTGTCAAGCTGAATTCAAATAATGAAAAGATAAGAACTATTTGAATACTGGCTGCAGGAAAAATATAGAGCCATTTTAAGTTGAAAGGTGAGATTGCAGCAGGGTCTGTCTCAGAAGAGAAAGTCCTACCAGCAGGATACCTTTGCATAGGGGAGTAGCATGTCCTGCTGAGCACTTGCTAGGACATTTATTGGTTTCAGGATTGGAGGGAAAAATCTGGAAGATCTTCTGGTTTCCAGGCATGGAAAGCCTGGAAAAAATGTGGAACAAAACCTGCCTCCTGTGGTAAAACCCTCTTCAGTGGAATAGCACAAGGCATGGTAGGAAGGTGGCTGTACTGAGCCACGGTCAAGACAGCTTTGATTTGCCTCTTGGTGGTTTGATTTAAATGTGTACAGAGGGCTGCCTTTCCCTGAACTTTACTGCTATCAATTAAATGGTGAGTTTAAAATAGGTACCTAAGTTTAAAAAGAAATAGTTTGTGTTTGGGTTTTTTAAAAGCAGTTAAAATTATCAACAGTAATAAAAATGCAGCAGCTTTCCCTGAACTTTCATGTGCTATCTTTTTAATTTTTTTTTAGACAGGCAGCAGCTCCAGCTGAGGCACAGAAGCTGAGGGAGCTGGACTAGCCAAAAGAAATAAAATTATCAGATCACCTTGTTGGATGCAAGTGACTGATCTGAATCAGTCTGAATACAAATTTAATCTAGATGTTGCATGTACCCATAAAGTACATAAACTTGGTGTGAAGCACTCTCCTTCCTTCCCTCCAACTGGAGAACTAGTCAGTGCAGAGGAGAAGACTGCAAGCAAAGAGTGAGAGTCATGCTTCAGACTGGCTAAAACGGATGAAGGCTGAAGTCCTTGTCAGAGTAGTTAAGGACTAGAAGCTTTAGCTTCCACTGGTCAGGGTAGAGCCCCCAGCTACTACACTGTCCTGGGGGAAAAAAGCCATTTCTTTCCAGCTTTGTGCCAGGTAACTTTTCTTTGGCTCAGAAACAGAGATACATAGGGAAAAAAAAATTAAAATTCCTTCTCATGATTGCACAATACCTTACCATGTGGAACTTGCTACCTGGGGACTAGACTTCCTCCTTGTTATCCTGCTTTTCCTCTCCTTTTACACTGAAAGACAGATTGTTCATGCCTTATTTTAGTTTCATATCCATTAATAATAAGTAACACTGCAAGATTTTCTTTTCCTAGTCACTTAATCCAGAAAGAATTGGCAAATAGGGAATTGGTTAATGTGTTGCAGAAAAGAAAGACTGTGGAGTCTACAAAACACTGCAGGAATTATATAACAAACATTACTTATGTGTGCACAGACCAGCCAAACCCCTTAAATATTACCTGTTGGTATCTGCAAATCTACTTCCAGGTGGCTGTAGTTCACTCACAGCTTGTAGCTCTTGCTCTACTCGGTGCTCCCCATTCCTGTATCACAGAGTCACTTCACTTGAGCTGTCTGGCTTAAACGTTTCTCTGCTTTTCCATTAGATAACTTGGAGTAAATATCATGGGTGATATCACAAGTGACAGACTTGCTGTACACACAAAAGTATACTGCATGCAGTCCTGTTTAATTATTTTAAAAGACTTTACTAGATTTAATACATAATTTGAAAAGTTCCAAGGGAAGTAATTAGCTTAAAACATATAAACAGGGTGAAGTTGTGTTAAAATGGTCTAGTATTAATTGAGGGAAATGTCATTTTCCTCTTCCTGCTTCTAGTAGAGATGGAGGCAGTTTGGTTCCATTTCCACTTTGTTCTAGGCTTAGAGTGGTGATGGAGGCTTGTGTCACCGTAGTTTCATCTTCCTTAATATGTCTGGAAAGTTCTGCAGACTCTCTTTCAGGTTTGATTTTGAAGGAAAGCGTTCTTCTATAAACAACATGCATCACCAGAAAATCAGGTACAATCTAGAGGAGTTTAAGTTGCTCTGTGTATGTAAGAACTTGCTAGGCATCTAGCTCAGCAGCAAAAGTCTGCCCAGCAGCAAGACTGGGATACCAGATTACAGCCTCTAAGATGTCTACAGATTCCAAATGCAACAGAAATTGATTTTGAATTTGGCTCTGGCTGTGTTTTCCATGCCTGTCTCCCCTTGAGTCTCCTTTTCTCCAGGCTGAACAACCCCAGCTCCTTCAGCTGTTCCTTGTTAGGCTTGTTCTCTAGACCCTTCATGTGCTTAATCTCCTTTCTCTGGACGTGCTCCAGTTTTTCATTGAAGTGAGGGGCCCAGAACTGAATACAGTACTTAAGGGGTGGCCTCACTAGTGCCGAGTACAGAGGGACAATCACTTCCCTAGTCCTACTGGCTACCCTATTTCTGTGACATCACTGACAGAGGAGCAGGACTTTCTGACCTCCGGGCAGTCTCCCTTTGTAGGTGACTGCTCCCTGAGCCTAAAGAGCACTGACGTCTGTTAAGCATAGAGTCCTTACCTCAGCAATGAGCTTCTGCTGCTTCGTCTTTCAGCAGAGTCTCTGTCTGGAACATCCCACAGTCTTTTCTGGGAGGTCTCTGTGTTTGGAGCAAATGGCTGCACCTTTGCTGTGGACTGTGATCTGTTACCATGTCCTGCAGAGTCAAAATAACCCACATATAAAAAGTAGTATTACAGGCAGAGTTTGCCATTTCTGGGTCCATAACAATTTTTTCTGACCATCATAGTTATAATTGTGCTCTGGCTTCCTTTCTAGTAAGCCACTGCCTAGAGAGGTGTCCAGAAATAGATACAGATTCAGAAGAAAAGCTGCTGATGGAGATCCAAAGCATCTCCTTAATAAAAGGATGAATAAAGTCCTTGGGCATTCCCTACCTGGGAATAACCTGATGTTGGCCAGAGTACAATAGAAAGGCTGTTTCACAAGTCACCCTGGGCATTCTTCTGCCAGGTCACTACATTGCAAGGTGGCAGGTGACCTGTACTGCTGTCTAATAGGGGCAAAAAGGACAGCTCAAAACACCCTGAACTAAGGACACCTTCTCATTCTCTTCCCTTTCTCTCATCATCACTTAATATAAATACAGTTCATTCTTGAAGGAAGTGAGCATGTACCTATATTATTCTGTAGTGATTGCAGCCAATCCTCCATCAGTGTCTGAGATGGTGCTGCGAAGAAATACTCTGCCCTATCTCTCAGCCTGTAAATAAAGACAGGAGAAGGTGAATTCTAGTTATCATTGCCTTATCCCTTCTGTCTTTGTCAGTGTAAGACATTTCAGTTACACCTCCTAAGACCATACAGTCTTAGGTGACTGTAGGCAAATATAACTGTATAGGGAGCTGTGTAGGTTTTCATTTGTGCACAACTCCGTAAGACTTACAGCAA